AGAAAACAACCTAAAAAGATACTAATATGGACAAAACATTATGCCATGTAATATTATCACGAATCAAACACACTAAAACCTGCAAAGAACTATGAACCCTAGAGTGCTTCAGAGCAAAATTTGAGTTCTCTGTCATCAAACCCAGTTACTGGTTTCATTAAGGCCATTGAGTTCATTAAGGCCATTGAGTTCATCAAGGCAGTAGATCTCATCAAATCAAATTAATCATTCAATAAACAATATCAATCAAACTCTAATCCAATTCTAACAAAACTACAATCAAATTGTAAATCAACTCCCAAATTTATCAAGAACTGAAAATGAAAATTGAAAGAATAATGAAAAAACATGAACCCAGCGTTGAAACCCAGCCTCAACTGGGTTGGTCGAAACCCAACCTTGCTAGTCGCATGAACCCCAACAGCTGGGTTCATCGAAACCTAGCCTTGTTAGTTGTGCAAACCCAGTAGTTGGGTTTCGACGAACCCAGCAAGTCTGGGTTTGGGCAACCAGCAAGGCTGGGTTCATCTTGCTCGAACCCAAATCTATGAGGTTTTCTTCATTTTGCTTAAACCTAGATCTACAAGGTTTGTTCATCTGGCTTGAACCCAGATCTTGCTCAAACCTAGATTTTAGAAAAAAAAAAAAGTCAAACAAAGGATGGGAGGGGAAAGGACAAGAAGTTGGCACCAAAAAAAGGAAAAGAGAAGGAAAAGCTACCAGAGACAAGGAGAGGGAGGGAGAAGTTGTCAAAGTTTAGAGTTAATGAATAAAGGGGAGAAAAGAGGAAATCAGGGGAAGAAGATGAAGTTAAGGGCATTTATGTAATTTTGAATTTTTTATTATTTATTAAATGAAGTGGGTAAAGTTTATTTGCAACGTGGCATAAGTTTTAGTCCAAATAAGCATATTTTTCTACTTGTATTATCTATGTCATCAAATAAAATATAAAAAATGCCACATGAGCGGACTTAAGGGCTCAAATTGACGGAAAGACTAACGTTGTGCATTTTTTAGAGTTGAGAGATCAAAAGAGTGTAAAAAATTGTTGAAGGATCAAAAAAGTGTAACTTTATAAAGTTGAGAAACCAAATTTAACATTTAACCTAAAAACAAAAATAAAAATGTAATGGGAACCGATCGACCTAGAAACCTATCGATCCCTATAGTTAGGGGTGTTCGCGGTGTAGTTTGGTTCGGATTTTATTATTTTTTAAACCAATCCAATTTAATCGGTTAATAAAATTTTTAAACCAATCCAATCCACTATTATATGGTAACCAAATCAATCCAATTTAAATTGGATCGATGTGGTTCGGTCAGATTGATCAGTTTTTAATATTATTAAATATAACAGATAATGTAAAAATATTTTAAAATCAAATAGAAAGTATAATTCTAAAATAAATTAACATCCAAATCAGTAAAAACATAATAATAGGTAAAAATTATAAACAAATTCTTATACTCCTTTAGATTTATAAAAATTGAAAAGCTTTGAAAATTATTCTTGGTTACATCACTAGAGGCACCAAAAATAATAAAAAAACAACTTCAAATTTCTAACACAACGTAAATAATTTTTGAAAATTAAAATTCATTTTTTTTCCTAATGCACTAATAATTTAATCACATTTTCTAAATCCTATTAAAAGTGAATAACATTTAACATGAATATTACTAAAATTGATTAGAAGCATTCATAATCAAAATTTAAAACTTCTAAACCAAATATCCAAAAATAGTAGAATATTAAGACTAATTTTATTATATAGTTTTAAAACTTTTAGAATGATACTTATTTAAAATTTAATTAGGAAAACCATAAAATTATTTTAAGAATAAATTAGAAATTTATGATTCTAAAAGTAAAGGAGTAAACCAGTTATAAGATAATAGAGTTGCAGGT